GGCTGGCATGTGGTGCTGGGGGATTGAACCGCGGTCCCTGTGCTTTGCTAAGCTTGTTCTAAGTAGGTGCTTTAGACCACTGAGCCATCTCACCAGCCCATGTCCATTAATATTTGTACTATAGAAGTGTGTGGCAGTATTTGGTGCATATGTATTTATGACTGTTCTCTTCCTCTTGGGAGCGTTCCCTTAACAAGTATGTAGTAGTGACCTTCTCTCTTTTTTCAAATACATTTGGTTGTTGCAGGGTCTTACTATGCAGCTCGGACTCATGGTGATCCCCCTGCTTTCGGCCTCCCCGGAGCTGGGATTCCACGTGTGTCCACTACACTACTCCTGGACTCTGGCTGGCTCAGCCCACCCTGGGGGCGGGGCCAGGGCGGCGTGTGGTGCCCCTGCACGCACGTGCCCGCGCTTGCCTAAGCAGGCGCTTCAGTCTGCTGAGCTATCTCGCTGGCCCCCTCTATCTCTCTTGATCAGTCAGGGCGTCACCCGGGCATCACGGAGCATGCCTGTAATACCAGCACTTGGGAGGGTGAGGCGGGAGGATTTCAGTGAGCTCCAAAGCCAGCCTGGGCTCCACAAGCAAGTTCAAGCCCAGCCTGCACTGCACAGCCAGACCTTGTCTCAAAAAAAGGGAGAGAGAATTGAAGGCACCCTACCGCAGTGCCCACAGAGACAGACGCACACCATGTTTATAGCAGCACAGTTTGTAATAACTGAATCTTGAAAACAGCCCTTAAACCCACCAACCAATGAACGAATACAGAAGACACAGTACTTTTATATACGTAGAGTACTACTCAGCTCTAAAGAAGGAGAAACTTGAGACATTTCTAGGTAAATGGATGCACCTTGAGACTATCGAAGTGAAATAAACCAGACACACACGCACCCGGCCCACGGCTTCTCCAGAGCGAGAAAGAGAAAGCCTACCTAAGGCCCCAACCGTGTAACAGGTAGTGTGAAGTGAAAAGAAAACATTCAAACAGAACAGGGATGAGGAAGGGAAAAGAGAAGGAAAAAATAGGGGAAAAAAGCTTTTGTAAATAAGGAGGGGAAAGAGGGGTTGAAGAGAGGGCAATGGGAAAAATCAGCAGCAAGATACATCACATACGGGTACAAATTTCCTATGACAAATGTGACCACTATATATGTCTAACATGTACCAGTATGCTGGCTGTGGTAGCACCCCCCTACCCCAGCACTCAGGAGGCAGAGGCAGGAGGATCACTGCAAGTTGGAGGCCAGCCTAAGCTACATAGTAAACTGAAGGCCAACCTAACTGCACAGCAAGACCCTGCCTTCAGAAAAAGAAAAGCAGGCTAGGGATATAGCTCAGCGGCACAGCGCCTGCCTGGCAAGTGCAAGGTCCTGAGTTCAATTCCCAATACAAAGACAGAAAGAAAGGATACTAATAAACTTAATTTTTTTTCTTTCTTGTGTATTTATTTTTTATAATTTTTTTTTTTTACATTTTAGTGTGTGTGTGTGTGTGCGTGTGTGTGTGTGTGTGTGTGGCCAGCTCAACCCACCAGGGGGCGGGGCTGGCTGGCATGTGGTGCTGGGGGATTGGAACCGCGGTCCCTGTGCTTTGCTAAGCTTGTTCCAAGCAGGTGCTTTAGACCACTGAGCCATCTCTCCAGCCCCATAAGGATTTTTTTTTTTTTTTTTTTTTCCTCGAATGCCTTCAGGGCACTTTTGGCCAGCTGGAGTGTTGTGAGGATCGAACTACAACAACCTGAGGCTGACAGCTTTGTGGAAGCAGCCACTTAAAGGACTGAGCTAGGGCCAGGCCCCCTGTTGTGTATTTATTTTTTAGAGAATAAAAAATAGTAAAAAAAAAATTAGAAACAATAATTTCACTAAATAAAATCATGGTACTTTGAAGCTTTAATTGATTTTTTTAGAAAGGCAGAGAAAAAGAGAAAACCAATGGGCTGGCAAGATAGTTCAGTGGACTAAAGCACCTGCTTAGGCAGGCAAGCTTAGGCAAGGCAGGGACGGAGGTCTGATCCCCAGCACCACATCCCCGCCCCGGGCCTGCTGAGCTGGCCAGCGTCCGGGCGTGGTGGTGCAGGCCTGTAACCCTAGCTCTGGGGAGGCCGAAAGCGTGAGGATCACCACGAGTCAGAGCTGAGTAGTGAGACCCTGCAACAACCAAATAAATAAAGAAAAAAGAAAAGGAAGGAAGGAAGGAAGGATGAAAAGGAAAGCCAACAAACAAAATGACCAGCGTCCCCCTCATGCCCTAAGAGGTCCTGGGCAGCCCTAGCTGGGCTCTCTGGTTCCTGAGCCCCCAGACCCTGCATAGGGTAGTCCCAGGGGAGGCTGTGAGGCGGGCCTTTCTTCCCAGTCCACTACACCCAGGGCCAGCTCTCCAGGCAGCCAGCTTGGGTGTACTTTTCAGACTTACTAGTTTTGGTGGGGAGTGTGGTGCTGGGAATCGAACTCAGAACCTACTGCTTGCCAGGCAGGCGCTGACGTCACTGAGCTATCTCCTTGGCCCTAGACTTTCAAATGACAGTGTGGTGTCTCCAATGGCAACCCCACAGGAGGGGGTGGCGGTGGGGGCGGGAGTGAGCAGAACCAAAGCCTGAGAGACCCTGCAGAGCCGTATGCATGGGCTTCCCAGCCACCCACCACCCATCCCAAGAGCCCAGTGGAAACTCCGGCTCCACCTGGGTGAGCGCTGGGTGGCGCCAAGCCACGCACCTACTTTCCTCTTCTCACGGTGCATTTCCTGTTACCACTGGCTCTATTTTTACCATTTCCAGTAACAATCAGCTATTTTCCCATGATCCCTAATGTATTACTTTTTTTTCTTTTTTTTTTTTTCCTGAACTGGGGATTGAACTCAGGCCTTTGCGCTTGTCAGGGAAGCACTTATTCTACTGAGCCATCTCCCTGGCCTAATGTATTACTGTCACAGCTTCACACTGTGATGGTCTGTTTCTCCTCCTCCTTCCTCTTAGCACTTTTTCCAGGACTGGGGACTGAACCCAGGCCATCGCTTCACACATCCCCCATCCCTTCTGCAGACAGGGTCCTGCTAAATTGCCCAGGTTGGGCTTGAATTTGAGGCCTCCCGCCTCAGCCTCCCAAATGTAATAAGCCACCCTGCATGGTTAGTCTCACCCGTGGCAAAATGGGACAACACCCTGCTTTTGAGGGACTGTGGGTGTTGGCATCTGGCCCCCACAGCACCTCGCATGGTCAGAGGCAGGTGTTGCATGGAGCAAATGCTTAGATGCCACCCACGTGGATTGGCGGGCTGTGACCTAGTTTCCCATCACATGGTATACACCTGCCGGACACCCAGGCCAGGCCACACGGGCACCTCTGTTCCCTGCTGTCACAGGGCCAGGAGGTTACCATGACAACAGGGAAGGTGTCTTTACCAGGTCCAAATCTTAAGAGGTACATGATGCCAAGAGACACCCCAACCCACGGCCCCAGGCCCGGCCCTCTGGGCAGACATGGGGGGCGCTGCACAAAAGCTACTGGGCTAGAAAGGAGCCTGGCACAGGCCACCTCCCCACTGTGTCAGGCTGGCCTGGACTCAGCACTGCGCCTTTACGTGTGCCATCCCCAGCCTGATGCTCTCTTCTTCCCCTTCTACCTGGAAGCCCTCACGGGCCATGCGCTGAGGTGTCAACCTGCACATATGCAGAGCCACCAAAGGCCCTGTGTCCTGAGTACCTGACCCAGCATAGTCAACAGAGTCATCCCCAGAGCTTTCCCTGCAGAGAGACCCTGGAGTGTCATTATAGCGGGGAGCCTACTAGGTGCGGATTCACCGCCCCCCCCGCCATACCTATGGCATCCAGCCCAAAGGGCCGGGCTTTCATTCCTGCCCCATTGGTCACTGCTGTCAACAGGTCCAGTCTCGGTCACTGTGTGTGTAAACAAATCCAGACCTCTGAAGCCCTATGAAATCCTCACTCCCTCAAGGCTGCTGACCTCCCCGAGGCCCATGACCCTGCTTAACAGCCTCTAAAAGCTATTTCAGACAGAGAAACTGAGGCTCAGGTATGTCTGAAATGGGTAAGGATTCAAATCCCTCCTCCCTTTTTGTCTTTTGGTTTTCTGAGATAGGGTCTTGCTATGTAACCCAAGCTGGCCTCAAATTCGAAGCGATACTCCTGCCTCAGCCTTCTGAGTGCTGGAATTACAGGAGTGCACCACGCCATCCAGCAATTCAAACCTCCTCCTTCCTCCCTGCAGCCACATGCCATTTGTGCACTCAATAAATTTCCAGCTCAGTCCCAGAAGGAGGAGCCATGGGTCAGAGAGCAGAAGGGGCTTGGGGGTCCAGTCCAATGCCCAAGCCACCAGCTGATGACGGCATCTGAACCCAGATCCCCAAGCTCTTTTCCAGAAGCCCACAAGGTCTGAGAAGGTAGCTCCAGTGTCTGGCTGAGGGAGGGGCTCGGATCCTCCTCCATGGCACCATCTACATCAGAAGGGTTGAGTTCAGAATACCCGGGTGGCCTGGATGACTGCTGGCGAGCAGTGGGAACCAGTGGGGAGGTGACTCTGCGCCCCACAAGTCCCATAAGGTCAGCCACAGCCTCGCATGGTAGTACACACCTGGAATCCCACCACTTGTCAGGCTGAGGCAGGAGATTTGAGGCCAGCCAGGGATACACTGTAAGACCCTGATTCAACAGCCCTGCCCTCCAAGAAAGGCAACAACAAAAAGTTCAGCCTCTGATGAGCTAACGCCGCCAACACCAGTGGCCCAGCTGAACTGGCTGGCAACCTACTCCCAAAAGAGGACACCAGGTCAACCAGATGCCCCAGAAGGAAGCCCAGCATTTTCAGACAGCAGCCACCAGCCAGGAGTGCACAGCTGTCCGGCCGTGGCTCAGCCACTGTGACCAGTCACGAAAACAGACCGACCCAACCTGGGGCACATGATGCCCTCAAACAGGTCTTCCCAGGTACCAGGACCTTGCATAGGCCCAGGGGAGGGTGGGGAGGGGAGAGGAGGGGTGCGGCAAGCGCTGGACAGGAACTTGCAGCTTCATGGACATCCTGACTTTGGCTCCTCCTGTGCACCCCCTACCCCTCCTCCAGGCCAATCATAAGGTCCTTCCCAGAAGGCTTTGCACACCTTGCTGGCCCAAGTCGGACCCAATTTGGAGCAGGCACTTCCTACCCCTTACTTAGTATTTCCCAGGCAGACATCAGAAGCTGAACTTCTTTGTTTTTTGTTTTTGTGGGGTTTTTTTGTTTTGTTGGTGGGGGAGGTTGTTGAATCAGGGTCTCACTGTGTATCCCTGGCTGGCCTCAGATCTCCTACTGATAATGATGGGGTCACCCGCCACCCACCAGCGCCTTCCCTGCTCCGGGCAGTTTCACCGTGTGAAGGAGCTTTCTCTGCCCATTCGACCAATGCGTAAACAGGCTCCTCAAGGAAGAGCTCTTTTCAGAGCCAAGACTGTCAGGACTCCATAGCCCTTGATCTCACATCAACGCTTAGGGACTGTCCGGGCCACAGAGGGAAACTGAGGCCCAGAGAAGTAAAGTCCAAAACCAGGCGGCAGCAGAGCCCAGCCAGTGCCCACCCCCACCTCACCCCACCCCCGTGTGTGCGCCCCCTCACCTTGCGCCAGAGCAGCTGCTCCTGCGGCAGCCCAGTGCCCTCGATCTCATGGCGCATGCTGTTGAACAGTGCGACGCCATACTGGTCCTCATAGAACTGCAGGAACTCCCTCAGGATCTTCTCGGTTTTCTCTGGAAGGGAGCATTGGTAGGAGGTTAGGTCCTCATGGATGCCTAAGGCCTAACACCCGGAACCCCAGATGCCTGCGCCTGACCCGCTCATGTCTTTGCTGCGGGGCTTGCCTGACGCTGGGGATGGAGCCCCAGGCAAGCCAAGCCCACCCTCTGATGCACTTCCAGCCTCTGCAGCCCCCGCCCCGTCCACTACCTGGAGAGAGGTGAGCCAGCAGACGGCAGGTGGGCAGGGGCCACACGCTGAGGACAAACTCAAAAGAACCATGAGGGACCCTCTGCCTTGCCAGTGACCAAACAAAGGTCGCCAACCAAGGCATACCCTGGTCTCTGCCAAGGATATGGGTTTGGGAGAATAAGGCAGGAGAACTGCGTGAGTTCGAGGCCAGCCTGCACTGCAGACCAAAACTCAGTCTCAAAATAAAAAGACAAATACAAAATCTCTACGGAGATACATGAACAAAGGGAAGGTGGCACGGGCCATTTACAGACTCACATGTTATACAGTATGTCATTTAAAAAGAGCAGCCCTCTCTGGGCCCACGTATGAAACACTTCTGCTCATATACTTAGAAGAAAATTCAGGCTGGGCGTGGTGGTACATGCCTGTAACCCTAAGACTTGGGAGGCTGAGGCTGGACGATTACTGAGTTTGAGGCCAGCTTGGGATACATAGCCAGACCTCGTTTCAAAATTTAAAAAAATTTTAAAATCAAGAAGACAGAAGGCAGCAGCAGGCTAGGCTGTGAAGGTCAGGGCTGTGGATGAGGGAGGGGAGGGTACAGAACGAACTTCATGTTCTGCTTTATTTACTTTTATTGCACTGGGTTACTTTACAAGCACCATTTCTTTCATAATAAAAAAAAAAAAAAAAAAAAAAAACATTCAACCCTGCATTTGATCCCCAGCACTGAAAAAATAAAACTTTAAAACATTCAAAATTTCCCAGCCAGGTATGGTGGCACACATGTGTCATCCCAGCATTCTGGGAGGCAGAGGAAGGAGGCTCAACTCCAGCGTGGGCAACTTAGCAATTTACGAAGACCCTGTCTCCAAAAAAAAAAGAAAAGAAAAAACCTAGAAGGGCTGGGAATGTAGCTCAACACAAAGGTTCTAGATTAAATCCCTAGTACTGGAAAAAAAAAAAAAATACTGAGTTAACCACCCTTTGCTTTCACCAGCTGTTTCCTTCCATCTTCTGCTAAAGGGGTTTTGGAAGGAGGGTGAGGCCTACTGAACACTGACAGAGCACGGCCTGTGTGCAGATGAAGGAACTGAGGCCTGGCAGGGCACACCAATAGGCCAAGGCCACGCAGCCAGCAGGTACAGAGCTGGGACGCGGTCAGGGGGCCAGCCAGGGGGCTGGGGGCTCAAGCCCCATGCCACCCCCAGGTCCTGGGCCTCTGATGGTGGGAATGAGGTTGTGCTGTCCAAATTCCGATTTGGGGAGGGAAGGGGAGAGCGCATGAGGAATGTGCTTGGAAGCCTTGTTTCTTAAAAACCCATAGACAGCCTGAAACCTTGGAAACTGTTTTGCAAGATGCTAAGGCTGGGAAGAGGGCAGGGGAAACAGAGAAGGAATGGAGGTGATGGAGTAGGAGGGTCCCGCCAGCAGGGCCACGGACAATCACACCATCCTCCCCCCCTCGTTGCTTTTTCCCTGTAGTACTGGGAAGTCAACCTAGGGCCTTCACACTGAGCTGCCCTTTTTTATTTTTCACTTTGCGTTTTGCTAAATTACTCAGGCTGGACTGAAACTCGCAGTGCTCCTCCTGCCTTGGCCTCCTGAGAAACTAGGACTAGAGGCATATGCCCTCACTCCCAGCTTTGGTGTCAGGCAAGTTTTATACCATGACCCCAAGACCCTGGGGACTCAGCCATGGCAGTGCTTTGTCAGAGAGGGGTAGGCCGTGGACCTGACCCACAGCTGCCAGCGGAAGCCACACCTCCAACCCAGTCAGCAGGGTAGGCAGCTGGGGGGCTGGGGGTGGGAGGGCCCACGCCAGTCCCCAGGAGGACAGTGTTCCCAGGAGGCCTGGAAGCTGCACCCTGACCCTCAGGCCAGGCCTAAGGGGCAGCTGCCACCCCAGCAAGGTCTCCAACTCGGTCTGCTCAACAAAGCAGCTCTCAGCCGCCGCCTGGCTGCTGCAACTCAGACACAGAACCCAAGCCGGGCAATCACAGGGCACCAGGCTGCACTGAGGAGCGACAATAACCCCACGGGGCTCAAAATGCGCTGCGGCAGCTGTGACCTCAATTTCACGCCACCGTAATACAGGCCACCGCCTCACTGTGGAGACTCAGGAACCGCATGGGGTGGGACTGATGTCTTCTGTTTTTGAGACTGGGTCTTGCTACTACATAGCTCAGGCTGCCCTTTAGTTCACTACGTAGCCCAGCCTCACACTTGAGATCCTCCAGCCTCGGCCTCCAGAGTGTTGGGATTCACATCCAGAGCCACCCAAGAGATGCAGTGTGGGCCTCCCTGCCCAGCCTCGCTCTCTGAACGGCTTCTGTTCACCACGGGATCCCTGAACAGCTCCTGGGCAAGGGTGGGACAAGGCCAGGCACGGCACAGGACACAGGAGCAGCGCAAGGGCTGAAGGATGGCACCCAGCAGTGTCAGGGGGCGGGGTTCACCCCACACCAGTCTTCATCAGCCTGAGCAGAGCTGGAAGGGAAGGGAAATGGGGACCAGGCCACAGAAGGCTTCCTGACAGAGGGAGCCTCACGCACATTCTTGAGCGATGAACTAGCTGGGCGAGGCGGCCCATGCCTGTCAGCCCAGTGCTCTGGGAAGCTGAGGCAGGAGGACGGTAGGTTAGCTCCCTGCTCCCTGGAAAGAAACTGCCCCAAGCCAGCCACACCAGTAAAACACACAGAAACACCCTTTCGGAAGTATTGAAAGGGTCAGCCAAGGAGGAGACATGGGTCTGGGTGCTGGGGCACAGCCCCCTCATCCTGGGGTCCCCTGCAGTCCCCAGCTATACACAGTGCTCAGCACCCCATTCCTTCCCTTCTAGCTACCCTGTAGCAGCCAGCAAAGGATTTCAGGTGTCTGTGGGTGGCCCAGGGCCTGAGGCGCCCCCGTCCCCTCCACACCCACCCACACCAGCTCTTCCTGTTTCCTCCCAGGCCTCTGGAGCCTGGCACGCCCAGGATTTGGGGCCAGCTTCAGATAGGGATTCTGAGATCCAGGCTCACCCTCTCAAGCAGGTCTCCAAGCTGGAAAGAGTAAAGGACTCAACTATAAAGGACTCACCTAATGTCACACAGCCAGATGGAAGCACCTGGGGCATAAGCCACAGCCAGCTGACCCCTCTGAGTCATCAGGGCCAAACAGAGCATCCCCCAAGGGCAACGAGGAAAGAGATTGCAGCCCCACTGAAGAGGCAGGGGCAGCCTCGGGCTCCTGGGCTAGAGGTGGGGCAGTGTGCGGGTTTGTGCCAGCCTCGCCTGCCTGTTTGCCTGTTGGCATTTCATCTCCAGCACACAGACTCAGCTGGAGGGAAGCAGCCAGGGCTGGGGGTTCCTAGTGCCCTCCTTGGGCATCCCAGGGAAGAGCGGCTGGGGGGAGGCTCAGCACTCAGCCCTGGGCCCCCGTAAATGTTACCATAACCCTAATGGTATACAGCCTGGAAGGACTGCATGAGAGGCGGCCTGAGACATTCCCTAGCACGCAGAACTTTTATAGTTTGAAAAGCATTCAATAAAAAGGTTTTTCTTTTCCCCCTAAAGAACCAAGACAAGAATCACAAGATAATGACAGTCCTCAATAAAGACTGGACAAAGAAAATACACCACAAAGGGGAGGGAAAAAAAGCAGGCCGGAACGCCCAAGAATCCAGGACCGCCCCGACTGGGGCCACGCCCTCTCTGTGCCCGTTGGCCACCAAATCCCGAGTCATCACACAATGGTCACCCAACACACACACACACACACACACACACACACACACACACACACACCCTTACACTCCTGAAAGGGCCCCAGACACGAGGAAATAAAAATGCCCACTTCCAAGGTTTGGAAGAAGCAGGGTGTGGTGTGCATACCTGTCATCCCAGCACTCTTCAGAGGTGACCCCAAAAGACCCCCTCACTAGCCAGTCCCCCGAACTCTGGCCCCAGGATTCCCAGCTCCCCACCCACTGAGAAGCTACTGTGTGCTCAGCGAATCCTACCAGGTATTGTCACTCCCACTCCACAGAAGCAAGCTGAGGCCCAGGGAGAGGCCAGGGCTTCCCGAAAGGTGCAGAGCCCAGGAGGGGGAGAGAAGTGGGTTTTGAGCCTTGAGCCTGTTCAGAGGCCGCCAGAGGATCGCCACACTGGCAACGCCTCCACCAGGCACAGTAACTCTAAAGGGCCCTGACTTTCCCTCTCTCCTGGGGACTCCTCAGTGGCCACAGGGAGAAAAAGTAGTCACTATTGCTAGTTTTTGTTCTGTTTTGTTTGAGATGGGGTCTCTCTAAGTAGTCTTAGACTCACAGCAATCCTCCTGCCCCAGCCTCCTGAGGGTTGGGATGCCCAGCTCATACCCTAATACGGACAAAGAAATGGCGACTCAGGAGGCAAAGCAACTTTCCCAAGATCACATGGGAGGCAGAGCAAGGACAGCATCCTTTGCTCTGAGATCCAGAGAGATGGTGACACTATCCTGAGGCCACACAGCATGCTTCAGCAGCACTGCACGGGCAAGCCAGGCCCCCAGCGCCCTGCCTACAGCCTTCCTGAACTCGACTACCACTATGCTCAGGAGCACACAGAGATAGCAGCTGTGTCCCCACGTCTCCATCCGCCTCTACTCTCTCCCAGCCCCTGGGGGCCCAGCCTGCCCAGCCTCCCTGGCTGCCATCTCCTGCCTCTCCTGGGGAGGGTGAGTCTCGACCAGCTCAGCTGATCTGGAATCTTAACGACCATCTCATCAGCAGAGCTGCCTGCCACTGGCACTGACCACGATGCTGGCCTCAGCAAACCGTCCCCGCCATGAGTCAGCCTAA